TCCTAAACTAGTGATTTCCCAATGCATTGGAATATAATTCCATCTCTCATGGTATCATACCATTTTGCTTCAGTGGTGGGATTCAAATTTTTTTATTACTGGTTCTGTGGGCGTAGCTTGGTGGGCATGGCAGGGGAAGGATACTGCAAAATCCCCATTCCCTCCCTACCCCACTAACCTACTTTCCAGCTCCGTTCTCCTGTGCAGGACAACAAAAGAAGACCCAGCCGATCAGCTGGGACTCGGGAGGCAGAGAATAGATGGGGGTGGGGCCAGTGAGAGGTGGTATTTGTCAATTCTCCAAACTACTCAAAATTTCCACTACCAGTTCTCCAGAATTGGTCGGAACCTGCTGAATACCACCCCTGATTTTCCTTGTAAATGATGGGCATATTGGGGGCAGGGGGAAGACACTAAGTTAAGAAATATGAATTTCTGGATGGGTGGTAGCAAGAACTAAATATGTGAGATAAACTCATTAGACAAATGCTACGACATATGTATTTGAATTAAAAGTCTGTCTATAAATATATAATGATAAAATTGGCATGGTGACATAACCACATACATGCTATCATTTTGGCATCATTGCTGCAGGCGCAACAGAACCCAGAGATATATATCTCCAGTTTTTACTCCCATGTAACTGCCCCGGGTTTCACATCTTCAGCATGAAGTTAAAGTGTTGTCCTGTTGGCAGGAATTTTTCACCTACACCAGCTACCACCTAGCCTTTATTTCTCTTGTGCTGCACAAATGTGTTGGAGGTGTCAGAATTAGTTTACATGGCAAAGCTAAGAAGTGTTAATCCCTGTGGTAGATTTAGTTATTTTTATCAACTGGGTTTTCTATATTGATGCATGGAGGATGTGTGTGTCATCTTCTCCCCCACAATGACAGCCAAGATCTGTCTTCCAGAATCACTAATGTAGCTTTTCTGACTCTCACTCAAAGCCATGAGATTTCATAAGTTGACTGGAGGTTGACAATAGTAATTATTCAGTCACTCATTATTATCACATAGCTTCAGCAGAGGCTGAAGGAGCTGAGCTATTCTAATACTCGAATTGCGTACGTTTTGCTTTTAGTTGATCTTGATGTTTTATTCCATTAAATGACCGTGAGTTTCATAACTGAAACTTATCTTTAACTTTGCTCACCTGAATGAAATCCCTCCTTTCCCTACATTTCCCCAAATACCTTCGCAAATATTTTGGAAGATTGTTAAGAGGTCTCTGCTTAAAGCACTGTCCTTTCCAAAGCCTGACACAACATGGGTCCAGGCAGTCTGAAAGACTACCTCCTTTTATATGAACGTCCACATTTCCTGAGGTCATCTAAAGAGGTTCCATGAAAGAGTGGGCATCTAAAGACCCTGTCTGAGATATATAGGAACTATCACTCAGGCCAAAGGGGCTGAAACATTTTTTTTAAGTCCAAAGAAATGACATAATATTTGGAAATGGATCAGGCTGACACTTCCTTAATTCACTAAGCTATAAGGAGGAAGAGGAGGAGGAGGTGGTGGCACAGCATAATCAGTTTTGTAAGATTCTGTTACTATTGTCGATTGCAATAAAAGTTGTTTTAGCTTCTTGTAGAGTTGATTTCCTCGTCTGGTCTGACAGTAGCTGGTTTTCTACTTACTGCAACTCCAAACAGAGACAATCCATGGAAGTCAAGAATGAGTAAAGTCAAGAATGAGTTTCCTGTGTCTGTTTTCTTTCCTCAGTAAATTGGACTTTGCTACCAGAGACTTCAGGGGTCTTAAGCAAAGCTAATCAATAATTTCTCGAGAACCAGATCAAACTTGCATTACTATACCATTTTGTTATGCTTTAAATTATCATCTTATTGATGTGGAGTTCATGTTATGTTGATTTAATTTGATATAAATTCCACATCTTTTAATATCATGTCACATTACAGAATAGCTTTCACTCTATAGCACAAATCAAACATCAAGATTAGGATGTCAATTTATTATTATTCATTAATGAGAACAGAATATGTATGTATGTATGTATGTATGTATGTATATATGTATGTATGTATGTGTGTGTATATATATATATATATATATATATATATATATATATATATATATATTCATTCTGAGGTTCTCGTGGGTATTTGTATGTGGATCTTTGGTTGTTGGGTTTTCTCCCGCGTAAGATTCGAAGTATCTAGGCAACGTTTCGATGAAGTCTCATTCATCATCTTCAGGCTTGTGTCTTTGGCTCTGTGCTTCTCAGAGTGATGGATATATAGAGTGATGAGTGAGTGAGTGATTTTATATATATATATATATATATAAAGTTTTCGTGGGTACTTACATGTATGGTATTCAGCTTTGTTTGGGGATTTTCCCATGTCATTATAGTTGTGCTTTTAAAGTTGTAGCAACGTTTCGGCAAAATCTCATCTGCCATCATCAGGCTTCTGTATTGTGTTCATCTGTGAGTCAGACTTTCACAGCTGTTTCTGTTTTAAATTTGGGGCTAGCCTACTGCTGTGCCAGAATGGTTTTTCCTTCATCCTGATTGGTTGGGAGCCTGCACTCACAAACAAAAAAATCTCCACACCACAAGCCAGGCAAACACCTGGGCACAAACAGATCTCCCCTGATACCTCCAGCTCAAACACACCCCAACCAGGCACCCAGATGAAACCTAGCTTCCTAATAAATGATAGCCGTCCATTTACTCGGAGCCAAGCCACACTAAAAGCCCCCAATACAGGAAACACAATGTTGCCAGCCAATTAAGACAAAAAAAGCCACAAAACAGACAGAAGATATTAGAAACACCAATCAAGCAGAACACAGCAAACTCCAAGACCAATAAACACAGACCAAGACTCCCAGCCAATCAGGATGAAGAAAAAACCATTCTGGCACAGCAGTAGGCTAATTTAGAACAGCCCCAAATTTAAAACAGAAACAGCTGTGAAAGTCTGACTCACAGACGAACACAATACGGAAGCCTGATGATGGCAGACAAGATTCTGCCGAAATGTTGCTACAACTTTAAAAGCACAACTATAATGACATGCGAAAATACCCAAAGCTGAATACCATCTAAATACCCGCAAAAACTTAAGAAAACACGGGTACAGGTATGCAGGTCTTGGCATGTTTGGGTCTTTTCCCGTGTAAGATTGAGAGTATCTTGGCGATGTTTCAACAAGGTTCCACTCGCCATCTTCAGGCTGGTGCTTTTGGCTTCGTGCTTGTGCGAGCAAAGCATGATTGGAGCTGCTGTCTCTCTAGAAATACTGGTGGGGAGGTTGGCTGTGTTGTCATTTCTTGATTGGTTGATGGAGTTGATGTTTGCAGATTGGCTGGCTTTTTCATAAGAACATGTGTGGCTGAGGTATTGGCTGTGTGTCTATCAGCCTCCTGTATTGTAACAACCTGGGTAATGGGCTGTGTGATGACCTTCTGAGTTCTATTGTTTTGACATCCTGGGTCTTGTACTGTAATCTCAAATGCTGCAATGTCAAAACAATAGAACTCAGAAGGTCATCATATTTTGTGATTACTTTGCCAACTGTCTAGCTTATATTATGCTACTATCCCATAGTACAGTTTATAAACTTTGGGTGGATCTATTTGATTAATATTTTCCACAAATTGATATAAAGCAGAAGTCACAATATAACACTATTTAGTAGAATCGTTGTGCATAGATTCAAACCAGAATGCTGAACTAAGTTGTAGTAGAAACTGCTGGACATGCCAAGGAATTGTGCTAATACGTTCTGATTTGCTCTTAATTTTATCTCAATACTCAGCTGTGATCTCTCTAACAATTAAAAACTGTAGTTGTTGGCAGCACACACATTGTTTGCACATAGAATGACCAAAGTTCTATATCCAGTTAACTGTTAATTTAAGATTTTTGCTAGAGATTCAGACTGGAGACTCAGATTCAAGTTTATCTTAAGCAAATTTTCTCTCCTCCAGAAGGATGAGGACTGCAGGAATATTTTCAGGCAAATCAAGATATATTTAGTACAAATCTCTTACTGTTCTATTCTTGTAGACATTTGAGACATAGAATTTAAAGTGGGACAAGCTGTAAGCACTACTTGTGCCAGCAAGGACAGAAGCAATGTCTGGATATAGTAGAGTAAATTTGCTTTCTTTTTATCACATCCCACTTCAATTGTCTGTAATGGAGAGAGAATTTAGTTACCTACTCTCCAGACTGGTGTGGTAGGGGGGAAAAAAGACTCAGGGCTTTCTAAGAGGACAAACAATTGGATCCAAATCTCTTTGCTCAACCCATGAATTATTCCAGGATCTTCTGCTGGTTTCTATTGTTAGGAACAGTAGAAATATACTCAGGACTGAAGTGGCAGGCAGAACAATCCTATAACTATCTACCCCATCTGTTCTTTTCTGAAATGGCTGCTCACGGGAGATAGGATTGCTCTGAATATTAAGCTACAACTGAATGTTTTGGACAGAAAATGAGGGTCAGTATGGGAGTTGGAAGCCTTTGGGAGTCAAAACTCTGTTCTTTCCACCTGGAACACCCCCAAATAGACTGATATCATACTGTTAAAGTCCAGCCACCAAATTTCAATTGTAATTCATCTTTTTCCATCTTTAATCCTAACCCCCATATGGAAATTGTATCTTCCATTATCATTATGCATTAGTTTTCATCCTGTGTTTGTTCCTATAGATTGTCTCATCTCTTCTTGTTACCTCCTACTATTGCCATTTAGCTGTGGGAGCAAAGGGAGAGGAAATTTTCTTTGCGCAAAGTTGCTCTATCCCAGTGATTTGAAATAGTTTTGGCCTACCTTTATCATAAAAAGGGTTCTAATAAAATACATCTGATCAAATACATGTGGGAGGGGCTCAGCTGGTGTAAAGCGGCAAGAAAACTAAAGCACTGAGTATTTCTGACAGGAAACCATGAGCATTTGAGGAGGAACACAAATTCTGATAAGCAAGGAGCTTATCCTTAGCCAAAGGGATGACCTACCTTTCCAATGACATCATTCCGGCTCAGCTTGTCCTTATCCATGACCGTAATGATTATGGTGGTCTCCCTCAGCTTCTCTGTGGGGATGTCGAACATGAAGGATTCATTGAACACTGGGTTCAGGCATCGCTTCATCACCACTGTCTTCTTCTTTTCCACCCGCTTATCTTTGTACATCAGCCACACCTTCACATAGGGATCTGATGCAAGGAAAACGGACATGATTGCCAGGATTTAACTGAGGAAACAGTGTAAGTCATAGAGGGAACATGCCAGTACTTAACACCCTTGCTGAGCCTGCTAAAAATAATTTGTTTCCTAAAATATGATGCACTTAAATGAAATTGAAAGTACAAGGTTCAGTTTTATTTATAGAAAAAGGTCCAAATGTAAATTTAAGTAAAGTTTCCTAGAAAAATGAATTGGTGTTAAGTCCATTTGGAGCCTGTGGGGGCATGAATGTACTATGTATGTAGTTCCTTAGAGCAGCCCTGCCATTGCCAAGGGTACCCCCATACAATCCCATAAAAGACACAGCTACTTTAAAGACTTGCAAAAAAACAGAACAATGTTCAAGTTTCTGAATAACTTTGTACCACCTAAAAAAACCAAATACGAGATGCTGCATAGCAGCAGACACTATATTTAATTTCCAGAAAGTTATTTATATTGTAAGTTGTTTCAAGTTAGATGTAGGCAATTGTCAGGTCACGTGTGGTTTTAGCCATTCTTCTGTAGACTGGAAATCCAAAGACAGCCTTATCCATTTTTCCCACTTGATCAACTTTGTTTATGCATGGGGATGTGCAGCCATCAACCCACCACTCAATGTCATACTGAACTCTTGAAACTCAAAAGGTTACTTACCTCTGATATACATGGACATTTTTTTCCAGCCTGTTTATTTAAGTAATTAGTTAATTTTGTCATTCCCCATTTACAAGCAGTATTCTAAAATAATGCAGAATGAGTTATGCTATTGTTCCAAATGCTTGATCCAAATATTAGGGGGACACACACACACACTTTAATCTATAAAAACCAACCAATCAAAACCAGCCTATTGAAATTTGACCATTTTGCCACCAAATTTCAGCAGCATAGTTTTTGAGTCATACGTTCAATATATGGCTGGTTAAGTTGCCGATTCCTGCAATGAAAGATTTTGTCCAAAATTCCCATGATCCTTTATCACCCTAGAGGAATTCAGGAAAGAAAGCTTCCTCCCACAAGTGGACAGATAAATTTCTAGAGCCTGTGATCTATTTTAAAATTTCACTGTATTGGAAACTACTTTTCTGTTCTTTTACAATATTTCTTGTGGAAGGTTGACATTTGAATTGAACTGAACAATATTAGGAAATTAAAAGAAATAAAGAGAGCCAACAAAACTCCTTGCAAAGATGCTGATATATATATCATGAAAAAAGTTCTTTGTTGTTCCCATTGAATGTTTTGAAAGGTTTATATCCACTTTCTCCGTCATAAAAGTAAAAATACTATACACAGACTTCCCTAGTAGTTTCCCCATGATACAGTAATAAGACATAACCCAACTAATGTTTCAGCATGAAGGACACATTGGATAATGCCCTGAGACTTATTTTTCACTTTAAATAATAGAAATTAAACTAAAATTGGACTTGTCTTTTCAGACCTTCAAAGGACTCTTCAGCTATATGGCACTGTTGTTTCGGGATGACCTTTGTCCATGTAAATGGAATACCGCCATGGTAATGATTAGTATTTTTTCCATTACACACAAAATCCTAGACGAGCTAAGACTGCATTATCTGTTGGTGAAGTAAACCATAAATAACACCCAATTCTTGCATCACAGCTGGAGGAAAAAGGTCTCACCATCAAAGGCATTTTGATATTTCACAGATTTCTACCAGATTTACCACAAATATAAGTGCCCAGGCTTCTGAGGAAAAGGTTAATTTGTGGCTGATTTTTGACTTGAGATTAATTGTTACTGTTCTGGAATTCGATACCTGATGTTCCCCCAATATCCATGGCTTTAAGATTCCGAGCTTTGATAATATTCACAGTGATGGAGTTAGCAGAAGGATTGTAGCAAAGGGATAGAAGGAGTTCTCCTCGGCTTCCCTAGAAAGAAGAATGAACAGAAACAAGAAAATATTGTCTGATGTTTGACATCACTAATGCCCCTTCTAAAGGTTCACCAAAGGTTCACCTCAGAAATAATCTTCTGAGCATCCCTCGGGATTTGGTCTGTTCATTCTATACAGAATACAGCTCCACATGTTTTCCATCATAAATCAGCGGGCACCTAACTTTCCTCAAATCAAGAGTCATAATGCTCTTGTTTTGTGTGGCATAATGAAGATTGTACTCCTATAGCGAGCAAAGCAAGGGTTGAAACAAGTATTTTGACTACAGGTAGTCCTCGACTTCTGACCATAATGGAGCCTGATCATAAATTGTGAGTCATAAAGCAGATCACCCACACAACTGAAGTATTTAATGACCTTTTGGTGGTGCTTTTGTGACCATTAAGTGAACACAGGAGGTTGTTAAATGAATGCTGTGATCATTAAGCAAATCATTTGACTGGTTTGTGGAAAACTATAAGTAAATGCTAGTTTTTGGCAAAACTGTGGTCACATGACTACAGGATATTACAAATGGCTGTAAATGTCATCTGGTTGCTAAGTGCATGGAATGCATTCATGTGACTGTGGTGGGGGGCACTGGAACATCAGAACTGAGTAATAAGTACCCATGGGGAGAGATGACATAACTTCAAATGGTTGTTAAGTGACTATCTATATATTGGTGATTATCTCTTTCTGCTAGTCTTAAGGCATTCTTTTGTCCCTTTAGCCCTTCTGCAATGCCAAAGGCACAAATCTACAGAGGCACAAAAGCATGTTGCTAAGCTGCTAGGTAAAAATATTTGCCTAGCATTGGCTGAAATAATTATTTGTATTCATAATCAGGACCAACAATACTTATGGCTGGTAGCCATGTTTTGGAATTACAGTTTGGATTACAATAGGCTAGTATAAATAAGCATGGGAATTCAAAAGTGAGGCAAGATTAATATTTTTGCTCTTGGATTGAGTAAATTGGAAAAAAGGAATGCTTGTTAAGAGCATTGTTATAGTCTTTAAAAAAATAATAATAATAATGGGATGCCTTTTGTTTCAGATCTAGTTTTTTAATGGTAGCAATACCATCCAGCGAGAAAGATTTCCTTTGTTGTGATTTTCTTTGTTGTGGTGGCTGATGTGCAAATTATTAAATATATTGTGCAAGATTGCCCACGACGTGCATTCTCTGGTTCCCTGGGCTTAGAAGATCTACATGAAGCAACTCCAGAGGTGATCTCCTGGATAGCTGAATGGGACATCCAGTTAGGAAGCCACTGCCATCCTCCCCATAGAAATTTTACTTATAATTACATGGACTGTGTCTATATGTGACTGTGTATATATGTTTACTTCTCTTCTGTCCTGTTCTCATCATATCCTTAATAATAATAATTAATATTATTATTATTCAGTGAATATAACCAGCAAACCTCATATGTTTGGTTTGTGCTGCTGACAAATAATCCATACATTGAGAAACATTAAATGTGCAAAGTTACAAAGCAAAGCTAGTATCTTACACTCCCATCACTGCAGGGCTTTAGATCCTTCCAGAAAGTCTGCATTTGAGTCAAGTCCACTTTGTTGAGAGGAATGGAAACTTCCCCAATTGGATCATTACGACTAAACCGATCATAATCCAAGACCTGTAGATACAGCACCCGCTGAACCACTTTCTCATATGGGAAACCTGATGAAAGCAAAGGAGCAGATGAGGAAGAGACAGAGAGAAACAAAGAAAACAAGACATGAAATATAGTTAAAGCAGAGTAACAAGAATTTGAAACGTAAATATGGCTTCATCTGAAGGCAGTCATTTCCTTGTAGATGGTGGTCTTTTCCATAGTAATGTATCAAAGCAAATAAGGATAGTGGTGACTATACTTACAGATAATCTTGTAGCTTTGGATAACCTTGTAGTCTTTTAGACTTTTTTTGTCTTCTGCCTTCAAGTCTGTCTTGTCTCTGGAGTATGCCAGGACTGGTCTCTGCAATTTTCTTGGCAAGTGCCTTTTTCTTAGGGCTGAGAGACAGTGACAGTCCCAAGGTCACCTAGATCATGGGTCTCCAACCTTGGCAACGTTAAGACTTGTGGACTTCATCTCCAGTTGAAGGCCACAAGTCTTAAAGTTGTCAAGGTTGGAGACCCCTGACCTAGATGGCTTCTTGCCTAAGGCAGGACTGGAACACCTGTCTCTTGGATTCTAGACTGCTATCTTAACCACTACGCCAAACTGGCTCTCATCTTCTAGATTAATGAGTAGTAATAAAGTTTTATTAATCCAATTTGATGCTTGAGAGAGCTGACTAGCTGCTCTAAGAACCAGGACAAATCTTCGTCTTCATCCATAATTTGCACTTAGATTACTAGTGAAGAATTTTGTTCTTTCTATGTTAATGTACTACACTGCTGTTTCCCTGAAGAATGGTACTAAATGTAATGGAATAAGGGCATGATCTAACTTGGCAGGAGGTAAGACAACTGGATAAAGTAAAGGAGACATAAGGTAACACAAACTGGCCAGATGAAATAAGTGGACCATGCTATGACTTCATAGAAAATGTGATAGATTAATGATTTAAGGCAGTATTCCTCAATTTGACATCCTTCAGTACATTGGACTACAATTCCCGTAGTACTCAGATGCTATTATATGTACAACAATTGCAGGCTTATGCCCTCAGTACATGCATGTTTCCTTATTTAAAATATTAAAGAACCTTTTTATTTCAGCCTTCATTAGGGATGGTCAATAGTTAAGCTTTTTTGTTGTGATGTAAAAAACCCTGTTGTGTTAGACCATGTCAATGCTGAATTCTTTACAGCTATATGGCACAAAAATGGTATCCCTGTTATGTTGAGAGAATGAGAACCATCTCATACAAAATCTCCCTACTGGGAAACTGCATTACTTTAAACTCAGGTCTGGTGCTTCATGCTTCACCTTCGTCTATGTTTGGTAGCTGAGATAATATCCAGTTCAACAATCATGTGTTTGAAGTAATAAAAAGCAGTCTTTCATTTTACCTCAATGAACTCTGAACGGTTTATGAACAGTCTGTTTCCTCACAGGTGGGAAGACTTACCTTATCTTGTCTCCCGGCCTCTGGGCTTCAGCTAATGCAATTCAGTTCATGGGCTCTTAAAAGGGAAGGTTAGCTTGTTTGTTTCACAAGCCTTCTTTCACAAGAACTGCTCAGAGGTTTTTTTTCCTCTCCATTTCACTTTCCAGTGAAACACACATTATTGTGATGATTCTATTTTAAAATATTGAGGGCATTTATTTGAGCTATACAGTGTTCGAATTACTTGCAAATCTTTGGAAATATTCCCAAATGCCTAGCAGGCAAGGCAAAGGGAGCTACAGTGAAGTCTGATTTTTGTTGCTCCAAAACCATCTCTCCAAACCCAGTCATTTGCTCACCAAGTCTTCAAAATAGTCTTGGTGCCAACTTGTAGGCATTGTTTTAGATTTGCCATTTCTTTTTTCTCCACTACAGCAACATACAGCCATAGTTATAATGCTACTGGAAAAAGCACCTGACTGCAAAACTGCTTGCATGCTATTTTTTTTCATCATCAATGGTGGTCACAGGCTTTTAATAACAACAAAGGAATTGGCAGAATTACAGCTCCGCTTTACACTAACTGCTATAACATTTTTGGGACTGGCAGACAACACACACACACACACACACACACACACACACTCCTGAAATGGAAATTGGGACTAGCAATGCAGTTTTGGAATTTACTACTAAGTGATGTGAGTGCTGGCTACCAGCTTGGCTGTCTTCAAAAAAGGGCTGGACCACTTCAGGGTGGTCATGGGATCAATGGCTATTAGTTTTGATCATAATGTGACTGTCTCAAAAGACCTTCTGCTGGGAGACTAGTGGGCTTCCTTCTGTGATTGGTTGATTACTATGAGAATGGACTGCTGGAAAAGATGGTCTGATACACCATGGCAGTGCTTATGTTTTTCTTTTCTTCAGTGAACATATTCATGTTTCACCTCTCCCATGTTAGAATTCTAATATTAGTGAAGATAAAAGGAGGTGGATTGTGGTATGGCCATTAGGAGAAACACTGGACGTGTACACTCTAAAGCAGGGGTGTCAAACTCGTGATAACACATTGTCATCATGTGATGTATTGCAACGTTTCCCCCTTCACTAAATCAGGGGTGGGCGTGTCCAGCACATGATGCATCTGGCCTGTGGACTGCAAGTTTGATACCCTGAGCCTTCAATCATAAGAGGCGTGCTGGTGCAGTGGTTAGAATGCAGTACTGCGGGCTACTTCTGCTGACTGCCAGTTGCTAACAGTTCAGCAGTTTTACATTAGCCAGCAGTTCAAATCTCACTGGCTCAAGGTTGACTCAGCCTTCCATCCTTCCAAGGTAAAATTTGGTAAAATGAGGACCCAAATTGTTGGGGGCAATATGCTGTAAACTGCTTAGAGAGGACTGTGAAGTGGTGACAGATAACAGATAATCAGAGTTGGAAGGGACCTTGTAGGTCATCTAGTCCAACCCCCCCACCCAAGCAGGAGACCCTTCTTCTTGAAGGTCTCAAGTGATGGTGCTCCCACAACTTCCAAGGACAAGGTGTTCCATTGGTTGATTGTTCTCACTGTCAGAAAGTTTCTCCTTATTTCCAGGTTAAATCTCTCCCTGTTCAGTTTCCACCCATTATTCCTTGTCTGGCCTACAGGAGCTTTAGAAAATAGATTGACCCCTTCCTCTCTGTGGCAGCCCCTTAAATGTTGGAAGACCGCTATCATCTCTCCCCTGGTCCTTCTTTTTACTAGACTAGCCAATCCCAGTTCCTGTAACCGTTCTTCATATGTTTTAGTCTCCAGTCCCCTAATCATCCTGGTTGCTCTTCTCTGTACTTTTTCTAGAGTCTCAACATCTTTTTTATAATGTGGTGAACAAAACTGGATGCAGTACTCTAGGTGTGGTCTTACTAAGGATTTATAGAGTGGTATTAATACCTCCCTTGATCTTGGTATATAAGTGCTATTGCTATCTTGTTTGTGTTCTTCAGAAATATTTACGCTAGCTTGATGAAAAAAACAAGAAGGATGGTGAACATTATTCACTCTTTCTTTCTGTTCCATCTGGACAAGAGTGGCAATTCCCCAAATGTTCAACCTTGAAGCATTCATTCTAGGGCAAAAGGATTACCACAATTAATCAGGCCTCCTCTGACCCACTATTTCTATTCACGAACAAGTTTTCTGCCTGTCAGCAGTTTTCTTTCAACTATGTTGCTTGTCTTTAAGTTCAGAAAATGAAGACCACTACCATAGTTGACAGGTTGAAAACAGAATTATGATATAGATTTATTCAGCAAAGCCTTGACTTGACTTCAGTAATTAGACCTTCTTACCTACCTTCAAAAAGAAAGGTCTCATTCCAATGTGGATTTAAGTTCTTCCTTTTCACCTTGGTCTCCAGTTTATGCTTTTTATCTGGCAGGAGATAGATTTTGACAAAAGGGTCACTTGTGCCACTGAAATCCTTGGCTGGCAGCTCCTGAGCTTTCAATATTTTGACAGTGAGAGTAGATTCCTGGAAATTATAGCCAACACTAAATTGGATGCGGCCCAGATTCTCTCGGCTGGAGCTGTCATGTCCCTCATCATCCTCAGATCCAGGGGAAAGCTATAGTGCAAGAGAAAACAGAAAGATGTAGCTGTGAGGGTCTGGTATGCAATGTTTATCTTCTATATCCAATTATGTTTTAACACAAGAACCCTCAAAAGTTATTTCCTCTGCTAGCTAACAGAGAAGATCTAGGTTAAACATGAGCAATTGATAAGAACATATTTCTCATGGCTTATTACCTTTAATAAGGTAATGATAATGCTATGCTTTATATTTTATTACTCCAGGAGAACATTTTCTTTTACAGTCAGCTTCGTCCTAGCTTTCTTTTAGTCAATGATTCTGAAAAGAGAAGAAATTCCTGCAGCTCTTTGATTCTGAGAGTTTGAGACATTTCCAAGCTGTCTGATGTCTTTAGGTGAGAAACAACACTAAAAAAAAATCCTCCAAGTATAAGCAGTGTTGAAAGGGAAAGAGTGTTGGGAAATAAATAGAGAAAGGAGATACTCCTAACATAAGCTCTGTTAAATCACTGACTTATCTGGGAGTGAGCCTCGGGGACAGGAAAAATTCTATTAAGAATACTGTAACTTGGATACTCATTAGTAGGGTGTGAAGTTGAAAAGCTCAGAAAGATTTTGTCCCACTGTCAGCAGCTACTGTGCCATCCTCTTGTGAAGTATCTCACTTTTCACCTCCCATATAATTCTTGACTTTATTATAAGCCCCAGAGGCTGGATCAAGAACAGGAAGGGCTTTCTGTTTACCTACAGCACTTTCAGTTTGATTTTATTTATTTGCAAGGGCTTCTATAGTTCCCCCCCCCCCCACCAATTTCCCATGGTGTATGAATTGCCAAAAAAGAAATATGTAGCATAACTATCTCTCATAACACACAAACAGATGGTGGTGCTATTTCTCCTGCTTATTATTCACTGGTGCAGACAAATATTTTTAGCTGCCCATTGTGCATTAGTTTCAGTGGGACTCAGTGAGCTAAGATTATCTTTTCCCTACCTGTTGAGATTCCATGTTTTGCAACTGTTTACATTCCCTACAGTTAAAATATCAATAAATAAAATATACAAACCCATTGATGAACCCTGTTCAGAGGAAATATTCTGAACATATGCATTTCATATTCAAATTCTCTTGAATCATGATACTATTAGAAATACAATGGTGTTTGCTTCAGCTGCTTTGACTCTAAAAACAGTTAGTTTGCAGTAAGTACTATTTTCTTGCAGATGGTACCCTCTATTAAAAAAATTGAAAGTAATAGAAAAATTAAGATGTTCATACTCAGCTGGGATCCCCTAAACTACAACTTTAATGAAAAAAGGGAGAAATTAAAAGAAGATATGAAAAGGGATATGAACAATATTTGTCTTCCAGTCAGAATATTGCTGCTGGCTCTATTCACTCTTACTACAGATCTTAAGACACCCAAATCTCTTCTTACCTTCAAGGCTGCTACTCTGTTTTTGAAAGGCCTGTGAGTTTCAGTTCTCTAGCAATTCTGCTCAACTCAACCTATATTTCCTATTCCTGTTTATATGCTTTCTGCGTTATTGCTAATGTTAATTAAGACATTATTAGTATTTAATTTTTCCATTACATTCAGGCCTCAAGTAATTTTCTGCACTAAGGAATTATTCCCATTTTGGTGTTGTGGGAGAACTTTTCTGTCATCTGTCCAAGACAGAATGACTCAAATTATATGGACAAAGGTAATTTGTAAAGGATTATTACAGATAAAACATCCTACGCTACTGAATTACTGAAATTGATTTCACAAAATAAAGAGTAGACAATCTACTGGATATCTTCCTTCACTAATTTGCCACAGCTGTAGCACTATGGTCATTTTTCACACAGTATTCTAACTTCTGTATCACCCATGAAACATTCCATAATCCATTTTCCTTATACTGATTTCTATATTCCATTCATCTTTACTCTTTGTATAATAGTGTTTAAGTTAATTATGTGTTAATTTAATTACACACGCTCTAATTTAGCATCATGCCCTCTTCCTTCTAGGGAAGCCAAGGAAAGAATAAAGGTGGCTTTAAAACTCTACAAACTGTTTAGCAACTCTTCACCCCACTTCTTTTTAATTTCAGGGAAGGAACAGAGAGACAGCCAGTTGGGTGTTAATGGCTTAGGCATCAAATTAAAAATTGGGAGAGTGGTGAGTGCTAGTTCTGCCTTAGACATGAAACTAACTGGGAGACCTTAGGCTACTCATCCACTCTCAGCCCTAGGAAGGAGGCAAAGGCAAACCATTAAAAAAAAAACTTTTGAAGAAAACTACAGGGACTTGTCCAGGCAGTGACCAAGAGTCAACATTGAACTGAAGGTAAAAAAACAAGGAAGAAGGGAGGAATTTAGAGGGAATATTAAAAAAGAAGAAGCCTGTGCTTCTTTTTTCCTGGAGTTATTTATCACCACATACAGAAACAAATAGTTTAGTGGGAGCAGATAAAATACTCATTTTAAAAGTGACTGGATTCTGACAGCTGTTTTCCCTGCCAAATAAATACATTTATGCTATACAGCCATACACCTGGATGCTGGTCCCAAACCTGGAAAATGGGCAGGGTTGAGAAAGACTTGCAATTTAATTTGCAAAACAACAACAACACACAAACCCTTTGCCAACATTTTTTTGTGGAAAAACTCTCAAATGAATCAGATATGGTAGAATCCTTAGGCCAGATGGTACCCGAGAGGTATTGGGAAAGAGCAAAGAAGTAATCAAGGCATTAATGATGCACCTCAATCAAATCTAGCAGGACTCCTAACTGATGATGTAGCTCCTGGTGAAAACAAGGGACTGTGCAGCACCTAAACACTTCAGAAAGCAACATGGAATGTCCAAGGAATGAGGCAGGGTAAATTGGATATATTCAAACAGGAGATAGCCAATTTGAAAACCAACCTACTTGGCATCACTGAACTACAATGAACAGACAATGGATATTTCCAGTCTGATGCATTCGCTATCTATTATTTGGGACATTATACCAGGGCAAGAAACCTGTCCAAACAATGGAAAGCTTCTTGACAGTAAATATTTGAATCATAACCATTCAAGTTATGTCAAGCACCTCAAAATCACAATTGTCCAAGTCTAGGCCCCAACAACTGATGCAATGGAACTCGAAATAAGAGAATTTCTATGCCAGTATTGAAAAAAAGGAACAAATATCCTCAAAAGTCATAGTTTACGTACTGGGTGATTTCAATCCAAAAATTTGTCAGCCAAGCAGAAACAGGCATCGCTGGCATTTTTGGACTTGGGGACAGAAATGATGCAGGTGATCATTTGATTCAATTTTGCAAAGGGATGTGATTTCAAACCATGGGTATCTGGTTCAAACAGAACAAACATACTTATACACATGGACTTTGATTAATCTGTGAAAATACTATGAGAGCATTCAGTTTTCCTCAAAGAGTAAGGTTTAATGATTCCCATTTATTGATATTTGAAGAAATTTTTCTGTGTGTTTTATCGTACACATTGCTAACTGATTTATATCTTTTAGTATATACATTCAGTGGTTGACCTTGAGGAAAGAGGGGAGAGATATTGCCTAGGAAACTATTAGACAAGAGAAGCAGGAGCAGCTAATGGCCTAAAAAACCAGAGAAAGAACTTAGGAAAGAACCTCCCTAATGGATGAAGCAGTTAAAAATGGTGATGGAAAGTTTGTACTTTCAGACTTGCAAGATTGTGTTAATGTATCCTAAAAATTAAGTAGAATGTCAGCCTCAAGATCTCTTCGGGTACCCTAACTGCTATCTATCTTATTTATTTCTCCCATATCCTACCTACTTTATCTTCTCTACTGCTAGGCTTAATTCTTTCGGCTGTCATTAGCAACGGGGGGAGGGGTAATTGTGCGGGGAAGAGAGCTGGAGGTGTTTTGCATTCCTTTACTGTGGGTAAGCAAAAGGAGGGGGTGTATGATTTCTTCTTTTCAACTTTCCATTTCCTTGCTAGCCTCTATCCCTTTTTGCGCAGCTGCGATGTCTTATCAAAATATGTCAAGGTCAACGGACAGAGGCCTCATCATCACCTGAAGATGCCCACATGATCATATTCAGAACTTTTAATTGGAAGAGACTTCTGGACTTCGGGGGGGTGGGAACAATTCCATTTCTTTCTATGTGTGATCTGCGTGCCAAATTCTCAGTTTCGGAATTCCATCTGTAGCTTCCTCTTCATTTTCCAGTAAAAGAATAACTTTGCTCTGATCCATGGAGTCTGGGTATTTCTTTCTTGGATTTTGAAGGGAGCACACACTGACATAGAACTAGTCAATCTAGCCCTGTTTACTTTAATTTACCTATGAAGTTGACAATATATTAATTGATTTGGTGCAGATATGGAATTTATATTCCTTAAATCAATGAATAATCTAGTTTTTACCTATTGGTATAAATTCCAATCTGAACCAGTTAATAGAGTATCATCTCTTCTGCTAAAGGCATCTATATTTTGCATCAACAGTGGAATAGTAGTATGAGGTTTAGAAATAATCATAAGAATGTTCTCTGCAAATAAAACTAATTTGTCTTCATGTATTATTTTGTTTTTAACGAGCTATTGCCATGGCAGCTAGATCCCAGCGGTCAACAGCTAACTTAATTTCAATTGCATCACCACCTGCTGAAACAGGGAAGGTAGAAGAGGAAAATGGTTCTATTAACTTGTTAAAAGAGATCCTGGTTCAAGTACAAGTCTTGAAGCCATTCCAACAAGATCTGGCTGAGCTTAAGAGTGATTTAAAATGAAGGCAAGGGGAAAAAAAGTTTAGATATGTAGATTGATTACAAGCCCACAGGACTGTAACTCAAGCCCATCTTAATATATTGACTAGATCAGGAATCCCCAAACCCCGGTCTGTGGACCAGCACTGGTCCATGGCATGCCAGCAACTAGTCCATGCAAACTAGCAAAGTCCCACCCAAGGGATGGAGGCAGCATGCAAAACCACACCTCCTCCAGTGTGTGGAAAAAAACTTTCTCCATGGAACCAGTCCCT